AATCGCTTCTGATTTGGTCTACCTTCTAAAAATTTTAAACCAATTTTGAAAAGATTGGATTTAGGTAGCTTGGAAATTGTTGAATCACTGTAGAAAAGATGTGAAACATTAAGTATCATTGCAGAAGGTTTGTAAGTTAAGGCGACTACGGTGGGCTGGGCACATCGTAATAATGTCGGATAACGACCCACTGAAAATGGTTCTTTGTAGTGATCCGACTGGGACAAGACGAAGATGTGCGCAACGAACAAGAGGGATTGATCAGATTGAAGTGAGTTGCCAAACAAGATTAGGAATGATGTTCGATAAAATCCGTTTGCGATAAAATCCGAACAATTTAAACCGGCTGATCCGATTTCAAGGACCTGTCATGCCGTACTGGTCAAGTACCAATTTATGTGAAAATTCTTTAAAAGAACAAGGGTATACAACAACAACAATAACAACAACAACAACAACAATAACAACAACAACAACAACAACAACAACAATAACAACAACAACAACAATAACAACAACAACAACAACAACAACAACAACAACAACAACAACAACAACAATAACAACAACAACAACAACAATAACAACAACAACAACAATAACAACAACAACAACAACAACAACAACAACAACAACAACAACAACAACAACAACAACAACAACAATAACAACAACAACAACAACAACAACAATAACAACAACAACAATAACAACAACAACAACAACAACAACAACAACAACAACAACAACAACAACATTATGGAAATTTTGCAAACAAGTATCCATACCCAAATGAATTTGCGAAAAATAAATATACACTGAAAGTTTAATTTTATTTCTCCCTTGGTGATATTCCAAAATTTTGAAGGGAGGGGGGGAGGGGTGAGAAAAGAAGAACTTGATATTTGTTCCGGCCTTATATCTAAGGAAATATTGATTGAAAATCGAAGATTGTAAAAAACAAGCAAACTAATTGTAACATGGCGGTGGCATCAAAGTTGATTTTCATGGGTAATTTGTGAAAAAGTTGTTTTGCTTTCAAGAATTCCTTAACAAATTAATAAGGTTTTAAAATGGCTTTTATGAAGAAAACTTGCAGGCTGAATTGTATTTATCTAAAGCCATTTTGCTTGATCCTAACCCGTTCAGATTTATGGCAGCATTTATGGAGGCAAAGTTGCCTGCAAAAACGTTAAACGTTAAAGTTTGTTTATCTTTCGATAGTTGCGCTGTGAGATCCAGGATTCTTCCAGGCGGTTTTCTCCCGATGGATTGGGAGCAGTTGCTCAGATAGTTTGTGATACTGTTTCACAACATTTCGTATTTCGAATAGCTGGAACCGCAATCGTTCCCGAAAAAGGTCCTTTTCTTCCGGATGGTTACAGAAGTGCACCATCCAACGATGCAGGGATGTACGCTTGAGTAAAATTTTCGAAGAGTTGATTCTTTCGCCGGATAAAATCGCTGCTATGGATCGGAAACCATTTCGATTGTCATCTATTCGCAAGATCTGAAGAAGGCTGGTATGTTTTAAAACTTTCGACAATGTTTTATGAATTCGAGGGCCACGCTCACTGTACTCTTCTCCGCCAGATGGTCAGTCGTTGATGGTGTGCTGGTTCTTCTAAAGAAGTAAATTTGGCTGAAATCGACTTAAATTTTTCATCCTACTGCGTCTATCCTTCTAGATTTCCTTGTCATAAATTTGGCATTTATTAACTATGAGGAACCATCTTTTAAGCTCAATTTGTAAACAGAGTAATTGGGGAGTTAAAGATGCACTTTAAAAGCCTAAAAAGCAGCAATAAATGCTTTTTGCTCTAATGCAAAACCTAATGGTTTTATGGTTGCTTTTATAATAATAGAACACGTTTATAAAGTATTTTATCAAGACATTGATAAACAATTGCTAATAACGTTTATGCTTGAATTACAGAACAGTTTTAAGGAGGGATTGATAACTGTTTTAAATTTATTTTTAAAACAAGACATTGTTTGACTTTCTTGCCAGACTATAAAAGTTTTTTAAAATAGCAAAAAGCTGAATTACCTACTAAGCAGGAATGTTTTACACTTTGAAATGCTATATTCAAACTAAATGGATTGTTCATTGCCGTTATCAAACCATCATAAATTAGAGTGGATGCTAAATGGTTACTGAATTGTTACTTGGGGGCAATATGTAACCCAAAAGAGACGGAACTTTCCAAATTGGATCACGTGGTGGCTGTCATACGCTAAGCCGAAAATCCAGTCCTTCTTCCGATGGAAATCTCGCGAGGCATACGGCGAGTTTAATGCAGAACACCAACGACTGTACGCGCAGCTTCAGCAAGCGTATGATGGTTATTTCCAGAATCCAGCGATGATAGCTACGATTAACCGCGTGAAAACACACCACCGCAGCTTCTCGCAGAACTTCATGCGCATCAACGGTATCTTCATTGCAGGTGAAAACATTAGCACGTTTCAGCTTTGAGAACGACGGAGGAAAAAATTGTTATCACAGAGCTGCGTGGCGAAAACAACGAAACGATCGAAAACCATCTGCTTCGTTACTTCAAGGAATTATACACAGCGAGAGAGTGGTGCCGTAAAACGGGGTATCTTTGATAATGCGGGTAACTTTGATAGTATAATATAAAGATTAAATTTACTCGCTGCACTTTTTCCAAATTAAAAAAATTGGTTCCATATTGTAGCTTAGGGTATTTCTGTTGATATCGTATATAAACTTTATATAGTATGCGTTCCATATTTTACAAACATATTAAAAAAACAATTTGCGTGTTTTTCGCCTGTTTGAAAAAGCACTCAAACCATCACTTATGAAATGTATTTCTGATATAGCCATCACAAATTCAATGCTGTATTCTTATTGCTTATGATGTTTTCTGATTATATACTCATTCAAAGTTTCATGTTCAAAGAACTAAATTGTGTGAGTTTCACCCATTTTTTCTACATTCATCGAGCATTATCAAAGTAACCCCAAATCAAAATACTGAAGTTCGGTCACAAAACTAAAAAATAGTGCAAATGCCTTAATTTCCGTTAAACATATTACTTACGAATCAACTTTTGGATTCTCAGTACTTGTTTTAAAACTGTGAAATTTGAAAAAAACATTCATTGCTGTAAAAAAATATTTAGAATATACTTTAAAAAACTATCAATGTTACCCCGTTTTACGGTACTTGAACATGACGAGTGCAACGAAGTTTGCGTGGCAGAAATTACAACATCAGAGATTTTGTCGTCTATTCGTACATGCGGGAAGCGACGGGTTACCTGTTGAATTTTACCAACGTACATTCGACGTCATCCACCGAGAACTGAACCTCGTATTAAATGAGGCTCTGACAAATGAGCTATCCCCTGAGTTCGCCAACGGAGTAATTGGGTTAGTGCGAAAGAGAGTAACGGCAAACACCGCTCGAGGATACCACCCGATCAGCCTTCTGAATGCGGACTTTAAAATTCTAAGTAGGATTTTGAAAGCACGTCTCGAGCTCGTGATGAGGACTCACCGCGTGCTGAGTGGTGCACAAAAATGTTCCAACGATGGACATTCAATTTTCGAAACCACTCTTTCTCTGAAAGATCGAATTGCTCAGCTGATAGCGAGGAAGCAAAAAGGGAAGCTGATAAGCTACGATCTCGATCATGCTTTCGATCGGATATCCCTTTCTTTCCTTCACGAAACAATGCGGCAGCTGGGAATAAACACAACCTTCATCAGTTTACTTGCAACCAAGGAATTTCTCCCCCCGCAGACCTTCCCTTTCCCAGCAAATTCCTCTTCTCCCACCATTTGTTCGAGAGCATAACTCTAGTGAACAAATACATCGCCTGTTTGTGGAGCGGACGGAAACACCACGGGTCGAAAGGAAAAATCCTGGCACGAACTGGAAGCGTATATGGTTAAACATCGCAACAAAACAGCTGTCATCGAGCCATCGGAGCAGCTTATACTTGCTCATAAATGAGAAGACGGTGCACCGAAAATTGATGAGAATCATCCAACGTGCGAACGCTGAGAATTGTTTGCATTGCAATGCTGTGGTTGAAACGCTGCAACACAAATTCAGTGTTTGCCCTCGAGTAGCACACGCATGGGCTTTTGTACAACAAAAGATGACGATGATACTTGGAGGTTGGCAACGACTGTCTTTCGAAGAATTGCTGCGCCCAGCACTATTAAACGTAGGACCAACAAAACGAAGTCAAATATTGAAGATGCTTATATTATACCTCACCTATGTTAATGAAGTTAACGTTAGAATCGATGTTAGTGCACTTGAATTCTACTTAATATGTGAAAGCTAAATTATTTTGTAAATAATCTTTGAGGAACATTGAAATAAACGATTCACTTTCAGAAAAAAAAAAAAATTTGACAACCGTTATAACATGTTATAACTCTCCAGTCTGGACAGCGTTTACGGTTGTATAAATTAAATTGGCAAAGCGTTTTAGACCTAAATTACGTCATGAAAAATGTTAGTTGGGTGTCCAGTTCGAGGTAGTGGCATTCATCATATGGCATATGAACAAATCCAACATAAAATAATTCGGCCGTATTCCCCATATTTCGATCAAAACAGAGTTCCAATATAAAAAAAATCTTAATGATTGTAGATTGACAAACATTAAACGCAACGAAAAGTTATCGATCTCCTGTGCAACCGTGGAAGGAGGGAGAGCACATTTTAGGTTGTTCGTGTCTTGTCCGAGAAGGAGATTTTAACTCATGATCTTTAGCGTTATTGGCGCGTCCCCTAAGTTTAAAATAGATATCTCGATTAATGATGTGGAATCAAAATGCAATTGTTTTGCAAGAGCTTTTCATTTCTCTTCTTTTTATTTTCTTTGAACGACTATTACTCGAAGTTTACAATGCTACGGAACGGATCACAAGTTCCATCAATTTCTATACCTACTCCAAATTATTGAATTCGAACCTCCTAATAATTCTTAATTAATTACTCTTTTTTCAGGCATTTCAGATGACAGGGAAGGTTTATTAGACATCATCCAGAGGAACAAAATTAATTACCAGAAACGCGCTTATCAATGCATAAAGTGCTTGGTAACCCTGTTCAATCGAAGTCGTGTAGCTTTAAACATGTTACATAATACGGTACAACTAGCCCGTCAATGGACACATGCAGTCGAGTGGCTGCAAGACGAGTTGGACAGACACCGAGTATCTGGTGGACAATATAACTACAATTCGTGGTCACCTCCTGCACAAAGCAACGACAATACGAATAGTTTTGTGTTAGAACGATCACAGTCTGCCAAAAACTTGTTACAAATGGCATTTCAACTTTGTCCAGAAGATGTATGAGATATTATTATCTGCAGTGACCTGAGTATATTATTTAAAAATAATTATTTTTATAGCAGGATCAGGAGGAACCACATGAACATGAGATTGAGAATAATATTGACAATCATCCAGCGGCACCAGCAACCACAGCCATAACTGAAACAACGAAACATGCTTGTCTACAGAAGCAGCAACAATTGCTGTTTTCTTCATGCGAGGAAAACTTAAATTCTAGTCCGTCTTCTATTTCTAACGTCAGTAAGCTAATGTCTAAAGTAAATATTCACACAGATGTTGGATATGAATCATCGACAACATCTCCAGAGCTCAAAACGCCGGCTCAAAATGTGGTAAGATAATGTGAATGCTTATATGCTTTTAAGAAGTGTCCGATGCTGCATTTCTCAGAAAATCGAATTGTTTTTTTTTGTAATGCCACGTATTAAAAAGATGAACATAAAATTGTTAATTCCACTCAAATTTCAAAGGTAACAATAAAAACATTTTCGGGTCTACTAGATACATTACTATTATGTCCATCAATTATAAATGCTTGATGAAAAAACTGTCCACTTTTACACTCAGGTTTTTTTTATACGGGGGATATTATATCGTGTAAAAAACCGTGTCAACAAAACCTACCAAGATTTTGGTTTTTCACGTACTAAAATATAAAAAAAAAATGATTTTGATGCCATTCGTAATTATACACTGCAAATAAAATTCACGTTATATCCACCTAAACAGGCACGTAGATATTTTCCATCATACTATTCAGGTGAATATTACGTGTTTTAGGTGAGAGATTACAGTTAAGTGATTCTCATAGAAATAAATGATTTTCACGTAAATGTTATCGTTTAACTCACTTAAAAATTACGGAAAATTGCAAATAAATGTTTATATATTTGAAAATGCTACTTTCAAATAACAGACTAAAGTAGTAATTTTCGTTTTTTAACTCTTTATTTGTTCCAAACTCAAAATAAATTACATTTCATTTTAACCTAGGTGCTCCAGCTACTATAGTAACTTACCAGCCTTAATTGTTATAATATATAATTAAAGGAATTACGCTTAGTAACTCATAAAAAAATATTTTATTAACTAACTTTTACATTTGATCGTACAGGATTATTGAACTGCATGGAACTCTCACAAATAACTAATTAAGACTAATTGTTCACTTTACGATCGAACTCTATTTAATAGCTAAAACTGCTTATCCTGCAATCCACTGGCGGTGACTCGGTGGCAACAGTGGCGTGTTCGCTGGTGTGGTAGAGTTGCTTGAAGAGTGCTGACGATGGCCTGGTGACATGGTAGCTTACTCGTTGGTATTGGTGGTGATGTGATCGATGACTGTACTTTGGACGGTAGTACTTGGCATCATGGTCTGGCTCTGCTGTATAACTCCTCCGGGGGGTAGAGAAGCGTGTCCTCACGTGTTCAGGTTTCCCTCGGTGGGTGGTTCCGCTTTTGGTGCTGATTATTTGGTCCTTTTCCTCCGTGGGTTGTTTATCAAGATTGCCTTGGATGATCTGACTAAAATAGAGAAAAGCAAACAAAAACTAATGTTGTTTTCATTTTTACTACACTGCACCGTTCATTTGTTTGTAAACAAAGGTGCAACCGATAACGAAAACGACACAAGGTTATGGTAATTATCGTGGAGAATGTGACTCCACCCAGTAGGCTCCAGTTCCATATTTTGTTTCTAGATAGTTGAAGGTATACATGTTGGACGTGTTTTCGGTTCAATAATGTCCTGTTATCCAAAGTCCCTAAGTCGGTTGAATTTGATGCTGTACGTTGCTCCATGGAGTAAAAATGTCTTCAGGGTAGTCTCTTTCGATGTTAATGTGTTGTATATGACGCATTTCGCGCCAAATCGTATTCGGAGCTGGTGGCACCCTCTCAGATTTCAATGAAACTTTCTGGATGTGTGTATAAGCCACTTTGCATATACTTAGTTTTTCAAAAATTCATCTAGACTAACCTTTGAGAAGGGCCAAACTTCTTTTGCCGTTTTTTTTTTCAAAAAAATATTATGGAAAAATGACAACTCCTTCAAAAATGTGTTGTATGGATAACTTGTAGGAAATTGTCCAAATTATAAAAAAAAAATACTGAAAAAATTCCAGTTGAGACCTACATTTAAAAAATTGATTTTTAAAAATTTGGAGTCGATTTAAAAAATGGCCATGTTTGATTTGGTTGAAACTTTGTCTCAAGATAGGTAATTATGTTTACTACCAACCGTCCATACATGGCACTTGTAAGGAAAAAACATTTTTCTAACAAAAAGTTTTTCATTTTTTTTTTTTTTTCCTTTGGTTTGTTTTCCGTCGATCTTGTTTTCCGTGCTGAGCACCAATGCTACCGACGCCAGGGAGGCAGCTCCCACACCTGGACCCTACCTATCGACCCATCAACTCATGAACCGGGGACCAACGGCTTTACTTCCCTTCCGAAGGAAGGCGTGATCAGAGATGCTATGCCTCAGAACATCCCGGCGGCGCCGACTGGGATTGAACCCAGGCCTGCTGGGGTGAGAGGTAATCACGCTTACCACTACACCACCGGCGCCGCTTAAAAAGTTTTTCATGTCTGAACTGATTTTTTTTTTAATTTACCATTTTCACACAAAACTAAACCAGTGAAGCACAAAATCATGTCAGAATCAAATGAAGCCCAATTTGCGATTCAATTTTGTCTAATCAGCACTTAAGTTCACTTTGATTAATCGAGCATTTCATATGAAAAGGACTCATGATGCATCGTATTTGGAATTGGCAGCACCCTCTCAGAGTTCAATAAAACTTTCTGGACATGTAGACCTTGTCAAAAATATCATTCCCTTATGCTGTTGTCTACTACTGATGCAAAATTTCATAATATGTGAGAGAAAAAAGACAAGATTTTTCATATATCATTTATTTATATATTTTCAATGTCTTAAACCTATTTTCATACATGCTATTTTTTCCTTTTTCCAATCAAGTTAAATATTTTTGGTTCATCTTCTGAATTAGAATACCTTTTGCCGCTACTTTGTCACCAGTTATAGGCACAAAACTGTGGAATTTCTGTATTTCAGATATTGTCTTTGTACTATTATATAGTTCTTCGAGTTCTTCTGACATTTCGATGTACTGTTCAGTGGATATGTACTCGAAACGTAGTTTTGTGATATTTTTATGTTTGTTCAACTGCCCAGTTAAAGGGTGTCCACGATGAAATTGCCACACACAAAATTGATTCGCAAAATTCGAGTTTTCATCCGATTGCCATCAAATTTTCAGGGATTGAGAAATAACTATTAAACTTCATTTTACCATTTTACTCGTATTTTATTTACAGTCCATATGCAAATGCCCGCACCTTGGCCTTAACCCCGGCCATAAGATTCTGCACAACCTGTGAATCAACCGTTTTTTGCATGTAAACCCATACTTTCTTCAGTTCCTCGACTGTCTTCACTACCTTAGGTCGTTTAAGAAGGTGCTGCTTCATAATCGCCCAGTACTTCTCGATGGGGCGGAGCTCCGGAGTGTTGGGAGGGTTGAACATTTTCGGCACGAAATTGACCTTATTGTCCGCATACCACTTCAGCACGTCCTTGGAGTAGTGGCATGAGGCCAAATCCGGCCAGAAGATTGTTGGGACGTTGTGGGCCTTCAGGAGAGGAAGCAGCCGCTTCTGGAGGCACTCTTTTATGTACACCTGTCCGTTCATCGTGTCCTGGGTCACGAAAGGTGCACTCCGCTTCCCGCACGTGCAGATGGCTTGCCAAACCAGGAATTTCTTCGCAAATTTGGACATCTTCTGAGTGCGGACATGCTCCGGAACGCTGAACTTATCCTTGGCCGTGAAAAACAGGTTGCCGGGGATCTGTTTGAAGTCGGCCTTCACATATGTTTCGTCGTCCATGATGCAGCATTCAACTTTCGTCAGCATGTTGAGGTACAACTTCCTGGCACGGGTTTTGGCGGACTTGTTCTGCTTCTCATCGCGATTAGGGGCCTTTTGTACCTTGAACGTTCGAAGCCCAGCCTTAGTTTTGGCCTTCTGGACAAAACTTCGGCTTAGGTGCAGCTTCTTAGCCACATCCCTAACGGAGGCGTTCGGATTTCGGTTGAAGGCCCCAACTACGCGGTTGTGATTTTTGGTGTTGTACGGAATACTTTTTCCTTCACTTCTGGGCTTCCGATCGGTGGTCAACCGTTCCTCGAACCGCTTAATCACTCGCGACACCGTGGAATTCGCGATTCCCAACGTTTTAGCGATGGAACGATGCGAGAGATCCTTGTTCTCGTGATGAATGCGCAAGATTTTATCACGCACGAGCTGATCTTTCGACTCCATTTCCGCGAGTTTTGATCACAGGACTTTAAAACTTGCAGGATGTAAATAATGCACTATGAACTAAATCCACCCAAATTTGCATTAAATTCTACCCAACGGTTAAAAAGTTAGAGCAATTTCATAGTGTGGCAATTTCATCGTGGACACCCTTTATATAATTCTCGTGGAGTTGTTATGGTGTTTCCATAATCTCGAGCAAGACTACAGGGGTTGTGAGAAATAGGTACTAGCAAAATGTTGAAACTTCGTTGAATATTGTTCGATTTTTAATCTTCAAGAACATTCGACTAAAAACTAATCAAGTTTTATGGTGAGGCAATGGAAGTGACCATGGTTACCGGATACCGGAGATATTCCGGGTTTCCTGAGGGCATGTCTAAATTGCTAAATTTGTGATGAGTTTTTCTCAGAGTGTCCGTTACTAAACTGTGTGTTTTGTTCATACGCCAAAAATAGAACCATATCCAAAACAAATGACGTACCAAGAGCTAAAATCGACTCAGAATCAACCGAGATATAACCATTTCCCTGGAATCGGTCATGAGGGAGGGTTCTGAGTGCGATCAGTTCTTTCATTCACTCTAAACATGCCATGTGACACCTCTTTCTTCATGGTTTTTTTTACCAATAGGCTTTCTATAGACTTTAAATGGAGCACTGACCACATTGGCCACTTCCGGAACCACCGGAGTGCCCTCGGGGGAACCTGTAGTAGGAGACAAATTCATTTTTACAAAAATGATGCCGTGTGACACCTCTTTCTTCATGGTTTTTCATCAGTAGGATTTCTAAAGACTTTAATTGGATTATTGATCACATTGGCCACTTCCGGAACCACCGGAGTACGCCCGGGGGAACCTGTAGTAGGGGAAAATTCATTTTTACAAAAATCATGCCGTGTGACACCTCTTTCTTCATGGTTTTTCATCAGTAGGCTTTCTATAGACTTTGAATGGATCATTGGCTACATTGACCACTTCCG